AAAAATCAGAATTTATGTAATACCTGGTAAAATGTTTCAAATTTCTAGGATCAATATTTTTTTAGTTATATAAGCTTATAACAAATAAAAAATAATCGTTTTACTTTAAATCTTTATTAGGTACATTTAAATACCTACCACAGTCGCTTATCAAAAATTATGTGATTTTACTGTAAACTTTTTTGAATAAAATCTAATGAGTAATCTTAATCTAAATTTTCTAATCTTAGGCGTTAAAATTAAAAGTTTTATGAATTTTCACCTACCTACAAAGTACTAAGTAATTTACAAATTTTTGTGATTTTGATGCATTTTGTAAATATTTGAACTTTTAAAGGTTATAAAAAACGTTGAGATTGTATTTTCGATATTTTAGTATTTGTGTAAGTACAAACTATAGGCTATAAGGAACCTTACATTAAATTGTACAGCAGTTTTACCCAAAACTGAAAATGTAGGTAACATAATAAATCGAAAAAAAAATGTTAAATAGCAAATTTCAACACGGGCGACATCGTGTCTATTGAGTTTTAAGTTGGAAGGGTTATAACTTTTGTTTAAAAAAATAAAAAATATTTCAGGTGGGTATATCGTCCTCATTACTATATTTACTTAAACATGATATTATGTTATTATGATATTTAAAAGACATGTTTGACAAAATAGGTAGGACGTAGGTATAGTATCTTTATTTTGTTAATAACATGTATTTTAAATACTTAAATTGATTTCCTGACTTCTGAAAAACCTACTATAATGACTAAGACAGACAACGACGATACGCATACGCTACGCATCTATTATTGGATATTATTGTTTTATTATTTTTGATTTGTAGGTAGGTGGTGTTATCCAGAGCTGTAGATGAATAATATTTCTGAAGTTAAATTACTGCAATTACCGTAGATTATTAATTGTAAATAGATAATATTAAGGTGTACAATTAGCAGAAGGGATTGAGGGGGGGGGTTCAGTGTTGGGTGAGTTACTAAAAAGTAATTAAGTTACTTTACTCGTTACTAGGAGATAAATGTTATTAAGTTACTTTACTCGTTACTCAAATAAAATTGTAATGAAATTACTTTACTTTTCGAATAGAAAAGTAACTGATTACTTTCTCATTACTAAAATAAAATAAAATTTTAAATTTCTTGGCAATTATCTTTTGCAGGCAAATTGATCAAGCAAATTCTTTATAAAATCTGTATAGTTAATAGGATCATATATAAAATTTAGTCTTCCATACAATCTATATTCATAGGAAACCTATTTAAAGGAATCAAATTAAATAATAAATTTATTTAACTGTTCTCGTAATTTACGGTGCAATTAGACATTTCAAATGTCAAAACCATTGAAAACTGAATTGTGCCGAGTTAAAATTAAATATATATACATATTAGATTGGTAAACATAATAATACCAGCATTATACATATATTTTTTTTCAATTTGCAATAGGTAAGTACCTAGATACTTAATAATTCGAAACTGTAACGCGTTATTCTATAGAAATTACTTTTCAAAAGTAATTTCCATTACATTTTCGTTACTTGGAAATAATTTTAATGAAATTACGTAACGCGTTAAAAGCAAAGTAACGCCATTACAATCACGCGTTACTTTCGTTACGTTACTACCCAACACTGGGTATACCCGGGGCGGAAGCACGGGGGCCCTCTCAAGTACCAAAATGAAAGGGGTCGAAACAATTTTAAGCTGATACACATTTTTTAGTGATTTTAAACAAAAGTTTTTCTATATTTTAAAAACCATTTTTTTTATCGACAAAAACAACTAAATAGTAAATACTTAAAAAAGCACTATGGTAGAAAAGACGCATTTTACTGTTATCCAATATTTTCATTTTTATCAATAATATCATTAATAGTTAATATTGTTATTTATGTATGGATAGAGCTTTTTCTAAATTAACTAGAGTAAAAAAAAGTATATAACCAGTCAAACCCAAGAAAACTTAGACATACTAATGATTTTATGTTCTGAGAATGATTTGTTAAAATCATTAGACATAAATGAGGTACTAAAAGAGTTGGCTTCAAGTAAAGCAAGGAAAAAAGGTGCTCTGCTGTACAGTAGGTTACAAGTGGGTCACTGTATAATGGATAGTATACAATTTGAATTCAATGATATAATATCATTGTTTAAGAAAAACGATTCTGAGCCTAAAGAATAATTTGCTAATTTTCGTGATTTTTCCATATTTGGTCAATTTTTGAACTTTAAATGCTTATAAAAAAAAAACTGTGACTAAGAATTTTTAATATTTTTCAAATGCCATTGTAACAATATAGTAGGAGCCTTGTATTAAATTTTCCAGCTTTTTTAACCAACAAATAAAATTTTATTGATATTTTTAGAAAAAAAACTAAAAAAAAATGGAAAATGAAAATGAGCCTAAACAGTTCAAAATAAATCCAAACATTTTGAAAATGTTAGCGTGTATAGAAAATGCTTATATAAACATTCAGTCAAAATTTCATGTACCCACGGTCATTTGTTTAAGAGTTGCACCAAAAACCAAAATTGATTTTTTCGAAAACAGATTTTAGTGAAAAATTCCCGTTTTTCCTTAATTTTTATTTTGTTTTTCACGCCGCTTTAGAAAACTACTGAAACCTTACTTACTACTCACTTTTGACCCCCCAAAGTACCAACTAGATTCACTTTCCTATCAGAAAAGCTACTGTTGAAGAAAATCCAAGCACTTTTACTGTCCTAAAAAATGATGACAGACACAAAAAAAAAAAACACATATCATTGTAAAATCAATACATTCATCGTTCCACTCGGAATCTAAAAATTATTTTATAAAATGGTTTTTGTTTTATATATTAACTTTTGTTTGATATTGGATGTAAATGAGAAGACTGTTAATAAATTTAAAAGTTATTATGGAAATTTGAATTTAAATTAATGAAATATTAACTTTTATTATACTACAATCAAATGAGTAGGTTTATAGACATAAATTACATTTACCTTTTAATTTTGGGGAGTGAAGAACAAAGAAGCAGCTGAAACGATTGTGTAAAAATGGAAATAGGTATACGTCAATTTGACAAGAAACAAAAGACTGGAGTGGGTAGACCACGTTTGGAGATCTCTAAATAGTATAATGAACTATGAAGACAGTAAGTATTGTGAATAACAAAAATAGGAATAGCTAACCACGTAGTCACCCGAAGAAACAGTGGTTAGATGCAGTTAAAAGGGATTAAATAGACTTGAGACCAGAGTGGAATGGAGATCTTAGATTAAGCGTATGCAAGGGCGATCGTACGAGGGAGCCGAAGAGGCCATTGACCCGCTGAACAGGTTTAACTGCATGTTCTATTATATTAATATCAGTATATCACTATAACTATTATTATTAGATAATAGGTAATTCTTATAGCTTGTCCTGGGTGAAATTGTATCCTGTGGGACGTGGGTGCGCTTGTGCGTATGACCGGGAATTAAATCAAGAAATGAGTATTGCCTAAATGGAATTTTAAATGTTCGCGATTTTTACGAGTTTTAACTTTAAACGTATATAATAAAACATTGCGGCTTTGCATTTTCGATATTTTTAGTTGGTATATGAAAACGTAAAACGTTATGAGGGAACCTTGTATTAAAAATTCAGACTTTCAGTAAGAGAAAAATTTTTTTTATCAATATTAAAAAAAAATTATATCTTGTACATAAAATGAAAATATAAACGTTTGGCAATGGTTATTTAATTTTGAGTTATAAATATATATTTTATATCAATGGTTAGAGCAAAAAAAATGTATTGTGTTAAAAACTGGTTTCGCGTAATAATTCCAGTTTTTGTTTAATTTTTTAGATTCTGAGTGGAACGATGAATGTATTGATTTTACAATGATGTGTGTTTATTTTTTATTTTTTTTTGTTTTTCTCTATTACCTGTTTTGAAATCTACTTGGAATTTGAAATTTTTACCTATTAAAAGTACCAACTAGATCGAATTTTCTATTAGAAACCATCTTCAAATTTGAAAATCAAAGCGAGTTTTGATTACTTCTCGTAAAGAATACTATTAAAATAATTTTTTTCACAACTAGTTTTTGTCAGTTTTTGAATGGTTAGTAATTAACATTTATTAATTAATAATTAAAAATACGTCTTTATCATGAGTTATTTATAAATTTTGACCACATATGATACGGCCGATAGTCGCCATACGGGATACAACACATCAGTGTTTTTAAAAATAATCATATCATGAGCCAATAATATTATGTTTCGTTCAAAGAATAAAATTAATGTTTATGATTTACAATAATATGTCTAGTTACAAATTTAAAACTATTTTTCTGGATTGGAAAATAGTATTTTTTTAATGAATAAAAAATACAAATAAAAGTATTTAAAATAGTATTTGAATTAAAAAAATTTTATTCAAATACTTTACAAGACTGCTTTTTGTGTATACACACAAAATATTAAATAACACACAAGATGTGGCATCATTGCAAAATTAATATACTCCGCTCAGAATCTAAAATATTTATTCAACAGTGTCATATATCTAGATATTTCAAAGGAGGAAGGGCACATAGGAACATACTATAATACATAAAATGCCACCCTGAATTCTCAACTGTTATTCACTAATTACTATATTTCTATATCTGTTAAAAAAAATACATTTTAAATTTTAAATGGGTTTGTTTATTAAGTCATTTTTAAATATTAAATATACCACAAATAATAATTATATAGGTACCTATTTTAAAATATGTTTTTTAAGGTATGATTTCCTTGACAGTTGGCATATTCAAGATATTTTTTGTTGGCTGTTTCTTGTGTTTGATATGATTAGGCCATGCCTTTAGATAAAACAATTTTTTGGTTTGAGTAAAACAAATGAATAAATATGTTTGATATTATAGAAAACTTTGCTATATTTATCTTAATAACATTATAAAATATTTAATATAGAAATGTTATAGTATAATAATATTGTTTATACTAAATTGTACGAATTTTGAATGGTGAGGTTAATAGTACTTTATCAAATTCCTGAAAAAGAAAATGGTATTAAAAGAAATTCAAATATAATATCCAAATTAACTAATCACATACAAGTCTATAAAATTTAAAAGTTTAATCTATACATTTATTTTAATTCATTTAAATTTAATAGAAGATAAATAACAACTTTATCAGTGTTGTAGCAGTTTTATTTTTTAATAACATTTACCAATAATTTTTAATAATTAAATGAAAAAACCAAAAAAAATCCTAATGTTTTCAAACTGATAACTTTAATTTTATTTATGTTATCCAAATAATAAAAACGCTACGACACAGATAAAGTTGATCCCTATGCGTTGTGGAATTTTGGTAATTCCACTATAAATACCGAGGGAGTGGTTCTACCCCGCACAAAACAGTTTTTTGCTATGTTGTACATTTGTAAGACCGAGAAAACGCATGTGGGTATCATGTCCTCTTAACAATAAAAGGAAAAAAAAATATGGTAATAATCTAATTGTCAATTCATAATAACTAATAAGTAATAACTATTGTTTATTACTCACAATGTTTGACTGGCGATTAATATCATACTGTTTTACTTTATTATATATTACAACTCCTGCAATAACTATGACAGTACCAAGCCCACTCAAAAGGGTAATAGAATTTCCAAATAAAATAATTGACATCCATATGAGAAATGCACGTTTGACAGTATTGGCCACACTAAATTGTATTAAATATGAAATTTAAATTTTGAATCTAAAATATAAGACTGAAAATTAAATTGATTATTACCTATAAGTAACTGGACTTATATAATCCATAAGAACATATGCTGTAATACTTTGAAAATGGAAAAACACTCCATTTAATATAAACATCAGTAAAAGATATAAACTAGTATTAGAAACTGCATATTTGATGTCAACTAATACTAATGACACAGGAATTTGAATAATAATTGAAGCTAAACTTGTATAATATTGTAATTCAGCAGGTCTTAAATATAAAAACATTTAATTATAATGTATTTGAATTTAAAATTATTTAATACTTACGTATATTTGAATTTATCACCACTAATCAACATTTTTGAGTACACATTTTGTAAGCTAAAGAAAAATGTAATTATATAGTATTAAGAATATTTTAATTATAAAAAAAACAATAAAAATATCATTACCACTCAGTAAAGTTGGTTGCAAGAGCAGCTATAAACCCTGGTAGGTTAAATGAAATTTCGTTTGAAGAACATAATGCCAGGCCAACCATTATAGGAACTAAAGATAGGCTTACCAAAATACTAGTTTGTTCTCCTAAAATAAAAATAATTTCTCAATATAATCAATCACATTTGTAGCTAAAAGAAATGTTCTAGTTTTTAAGAGTATTTTTTTGTATACTTTTTACTAATGAGGATTATATATTTTTTCTATTCATTGTACAACTTTTAATTATTTCATTGGTGGCTTATTATTTCTAAGTACCAGATAAGTGCTTGTTATATTACATATTTATAAATAAATACTATATCTATGTAACATGTAAAACAAAGACAATTGATACTGATTTGCACTTTCTTAAATATTATAGTATGTATATTATTACCACTTTCACCTTACCTAATAACAATTTTGAAATAAATACAGTAAATATTGGAGCTGAACTTTTAATTGTTTCTGTAAAACTTACTGCTACATAATTTAATGAAATAAGTCCTAAAAGTACTGTAATAAATCTGTAAAAGAAAAAATCTATCGTTATGATTCATGGAAATATATTTACATATGTACAAATAATAAAATTACCGTGTACAACCAACTAAGCACATATGAATGTAAAAGTTTGGCGGTCTTTTGGATCGATGTGTTGGTTGTTTGTACATTCCACATGGTAAATACAGTTGAACAAAGCCACATATAGTTGTCATGATCATTTGAGATGCTCCTAAAATCACATCAAAATCGAAAATTGAATATTAATCATACTCAATGTCGTGCATTACAATTATATTTACCCAGTACTGTAGGATCTCCATTTAGATAGGAAAGGATGTACTTATTCAAAAATAATGTACATCCGCTGAAGAAATACCATAAGACCAAGAATGCGATGGCCCTGAACGAGTGTAAGCCATCTTCCATTCGTTTTTCAGCAACGGTGACAGATTTGGGCAACTGAGTCATAAATGTCAGTTTTGTATCACATTAATACAAGAACAATAAAATTAAAACAAACTACCTAAAACTAGTAACTACATGGTAAGAAAATGTGTCGGTAACTATTAGTTGGTAAGGAAAATGTCAATGAGTAAAATGTATTCAAGAAGTTTTTTTTTATCGAATAGTAGACACGTCACAAATAAACGATACCTATTTCAAAAAATGTTTTTAGCTCATCTCTTTGAGTCTTATCTTATCATTCCTAACGATACCATATCGTTTTGTATACAAATCAGAACATAGAACCGTAAATACTAAATAGGTACCAGACCGGGAGTATGTATGTGCCACGGTTTATTTCAAGTATAACTCGTTCTATGCTCAAACCATGGTATGTCAGAAGATATCTTCTCTACATCGTGGTTATAGTATCAATTGGAATGTAAACAATTTATCCCATAACCGTGGCTTTTAGGTTAAAAGTAAGTAGGAACTCTACAAAACAACAACTAATAAGACTTAACAAGTAAAACAAAGTAGCGACTAACGAGTTCAAGCGCCAAGTTACAGACAAGCAACAAGTTCAATCGTTTTTGAAAACAGTATAAGTAAAAACGTAAGTATATTTAAGTATATAATATATTTTATAGTTACTTTTTTTATATCTTGAAATATGTGTGCGTCTATGCTGTTTGCACTAGAGTAAGTTGTGATGAGTTCATGTAAACGTAAATGCATGTGACAAGCAGTTATGCTTGCCCAATATGGTTTTAAGAATAAATTTAAACTAGTTAATAATAAAAAGCCGGAGATGACCCCAATTATTGACAGCATGTAGTTCTCGCTTCCCTAATTTTGGCGGGTTAGTAAGTTATTAATGTTAATACTACTAATTAGTCGAATTTAACCAATTTTCATTGACCCTCCAAGGGCCGTTATTATAATGTCCAGTAACGTGTCAGTTAACTTTAACCGTAAATTGTAAGAACGGCCCTTAGTTAATAATCAGTGTTTTTAGTTTTTTTTTTTATGCAATTTCCCTTCTAATTTATTGACTTTCAGATTTAAATATTTATTTAATATTATAATGAATATTCTTAGAATAACTTTTGTATCCTAATTTCTTAACGTTAAATACCTATTGAACATCTTAAATTTTAAGTATTTAAAATAAAATTATATGGAGTCCGAGTACAAAATTGTATAATAAGTTAATCATAATTTAGTAGACTTTTTGTTCTTAATACAGTTATTGACTTATTTAATTTATTGTGGTATATTTATATTTTTCAAGATTATTATCTCATTACAACAATCAATATTATGTATAATTGCCATGTATTATTTTATGTAATATAAAAATTATGTGATAAATGGATTTGTAATTTTTAGTAAAATGCCATATAATGTACATATTTTGTGATTGTATGTTAAATTTAAGTAGTTTTTAAGTGTAAATTGTAACTAAAGTTGATTGGGTATCATAACATTTTAATTATCATAGATTTTTAAGTAATACCTATACAGAATATTGTTTTTTATGTGAATTAGTCTAAATGTTTATCAATTATGTATTAATGCAATTTTATCAAGATCTTGTCAGATTCACATAAAAGAATTCTGTAAGCCATGTGATAGAATTAACACGTGAAGTGCCATGCGGCTACCGGCGGTCATTTGTAAATCTTAAACTTTATGCTTTTGATACTGCTGGCGGCCGTAAATGAATATGGTTTTATATCAATAACTTTCCATGGGGTTACAATAATGCACCAAAAAAGCGCCGTGGCGTATCGAGAATCATTACAAACTTTTGATGTTATAAATATTTTTAAATAAATAGTTTAATATACAAATTTCGAATGACACTGAAAAATATACTTGGCGTACAGATGATGCAAAATCGTGTGACCGCCGTCAGTCGCATGGCTTTTAACGTGTTAAAAAGAAAATGTTACATTATATTATTATCTATATTGATATTTACATGTTAAAAAATATTATAATGTTTGTTCTTATTTGTGATATATTCCAATTTTTGTATACAGGATTAGTTGGGAATATATTATAATACCATAATGGCAGTCCGAGCACAGTTTGAAAACAACAACGAAATAGGGGTATTCAGCAAGCTGACAAATTCCTATTGTTTGGTTGGAATTGGTGCTTCGGAAACATTTTACAGTGTATTTGAATCAGAATTATCTGATATCATACCTGTTATCCATGCATCTGTTGCTGGATGTCGCATTGTTGGCCGTATGACGGTTGGCAACAAAAATGGGTTACTATTACCCAATTCTACTACAGACACTGAATTGCAACACATACGCAATTCGTTGCCCGACAATGTCAAGGTACAACGTGTGGAAGAACGTTTATCTGCTCTTGGAAATGTAATGGTGTGCAATGATTATGTAGCACTAGTTCATCCTGATTTGGACAAGGATACAGAAGAGATACTTTCAGATACTTTAAATGTTGAAGTATACAGACAAACCGTGGCGTCCAACTGCTTAGTAGGTTCATACTGCGCTATTTCTAATCAAGGAGGATTAGTACATCCTAAAACCACGGTGGAAGACCTTGACGAATTGTCTGGTTTGATTCAAGTTCCCCTTGTAGCTGGAACAGTAAACCGTGGTTCAGACGTCGTGGGAGCTGGTATGGTTGTGAATGATTGGTGTGCTGTTTGTGGTACAGATACTACATCAACAGAAATTTCCGTCATTGATAGTATATTCAAATTAGATCCAGACGGTGTGCACAAAATGAAAAAACTCAAAGGTCCACTTATCGACAGTATCAAAGCTTCATAATCATTAATAATTATAAAACACACTTTATGTTTATACTATTTATATTGTCAATGTACTTCTATAATTATAAAAAAAAAATGTTGTCTTTGTTTCAATCTACTATAATAAATACACAAAATATTAAACAGCATATTATTATTAGTTATTACTTGTTTATATACATTATGTGTTTTTCACCCAGTGATCTAAATCCATTTTTATTTTAGAACTATTATGGACATTGATATCCGTGATTTGATAGACGAAGAAGATGATGATAATCAAGAAGAAATGACTGCCCAGAAGGTATTACAAATTGTTGAACGAGCTTGGCTAAATGAAAAATTTAGTCCAGAAATACTGCCACATCAGACGGACTATGTTGATTGTTTGCTAGAACAAATCAAGGGAATGGAAGGAAATCTTGCCAAATTATCTAAAACCGATCCAAAAGTGGACTTGCACAAACTTGAACTAGAACGTATTAAATTTGTTATAACTAGCTATTTGCGAACTAGGTTAAAGAAAATAGAAAGTTTTTGTGTGAGTGTCCTTGAAGAAGAAGCCACTCGTTCTGAAGAGGATGCGTATTTATCAACTGCAGAGCTTAAATTTGCTAAAGAATTTGCTCTGAATGCTGACAATCATTTTGACACCATACTCCGGCATATGCCTCATCTATACAACAAATTGGATAGAAATAAAAAAATTATCGAGCCCAATTTAAATAGTTTTGTTTTTTTAAAATGTAACAAGCATATAGATAGTGTTATTATAAAAAATACATTGGAAGGCCAGGAAGAAGAAATTGTATTGGAAGATGGTTCTCAGCATTTGATGCCTTATAGTTCAGTTGCCGAATTTGTGAAAAAGGGTACTGTTCAATTGATCTAAACTATTTAATAAAAGTTCATCATTCATTCTTCATCCTATTCAATTTTAATAATTCATGTTAAATAATCAATTCAAAAATACATTGATTATGTCGCCCATAATGATATATTTAACTAATGTAAATGCAATATACGTTTGAAATAAACAGTTATCAAAACATTCAAAAGTATAATATTCTATTTTTATTCCATCCAGTATATAGATGTTTCTTTATAGTTGTACGGGATATATTTCAAATTAAATTATTCCAATTAAAAAGTGAATATTTGGTCCAATAAAAATATTTATTCAGAGCTATATAAGTTGTTCTTTCTGAATATGACTGAAAATTAGTACAAAAAACAAAGTTCATGGAAATACAATTATATTTATTATTACTTTCTAAAGTAAAATACAAGTTAATTTGGAAGAACTAATAAAAACTTACTTCATACAAGCTTGCCGAATATATGACATTTTTATTTTCAAATAAAGCATACTGTGAACCAGTGGTGTAATTTGGTCATGTTTGTGTGGAGGATTGAAATATTTACCCATAACCCCCACCCTACAACCCACCAAAAAAAAATTTGGCTTATATCATTACAATAAATATAAAAACCTCTCAGTATGTAATATTGCTATACACTGCATTATTTAAATATATTTGTGCAATATTCAGTTTATAATAATGATTAGTATTTATTATGAAGTAATTTATTATAATATTACATTATAGCTAGGTACCATACTTAAAATAAAGTGAAATTATTCTAATAAGAAATACTTGTTTAAGTGAAAACCGGTACAACGCATATAAAAAGTATACATTTATAATTTTAAAATAATATTTATATAAAAGTGATGAAAATAAATATGGAATAAGAATACAAATTATATTACAACAAAAAGAAATGTCAAATGTTACTTTATATACACAAAATAATGTAGTTACTGTTTTTAAATTTTAATACATATTATGCAAAATGTTCACAAAATGTTTATAAAAGAAAAATACAATCATCATGTCTAAACTAAAAAAAACATGCAGGTTTTTTAAATTTACTTCTTCTTTTTTTTTGGAACTGGTGATTTAGGATCTCCAGCATCAGCTTTATCAACCTTGTCAGCTTTTTTTTTAACCGGAGCAGGTGATGGGGCTGGCTTCAAATTCTTTTTAAGCAGTTTTTTCTGTTCCCTTTCTTTTTCTTCTAATTCTTGATTTTCTCTCTCTATTAGCGTAATTAAAGTGTTACATCGCCTTTGCAATTCATTTGCAGTACGACTTTTAATAAACCAATCAAATCTAAATTGAGGAGCACACCTAAAACAGTTATCAAAATATTAATAACCTAAATGTATATAATTCTTCTTCGATGTTAAACTTTCTTTACTAACAATATTTCTTAAAAATAGCTTATTAAAACATACAAATATATCATAAATATGAATGATTAAAGACCATGATAGTTCAGGTTGTCATAATTTTAAATATTTGTTAATAATTTAACTGGATTTCTATGTTGAAAGACTTGAACTACTTTTTTTTTAAGAAACGGGGATCAAATAATCTTGATATTAAAGTAAAGAATCATCAAGAACATTAAATAATGTTTTTGAATTTTGATAATATTTTCTGCCATGCTACTGATAATATTTATTATTTAACAATTTTGACAACATCAGTGATACAATATTTCTTTTCAAAAGAGTATATACCGGTCAGTGACCAGTTTATATCCAGCGGAGAGCATTCCCCACCAATTTCCCATTGTTAGCATGATCACGTGGTTCTCGACGCACCAATCAAATCATTTGACATACGCGGAAGTGGTATATTCTCTTTTGAAAAGGAGTATAGTAATTTCTCTTGTTTTCTATATCCCTAACCTTACCTTATAGCCGCTCTTAATTCTTCATACACATTTTCTTTATCAAATCCAAGTTTGTGGAGCATGCAAACTAAAAATCTATCTTCTTCTTCAGTATAATTTTTGCCCTTGTTTGCGCCATATGAAATGCGCAATTGATGAAATGGGGCCCTATACCTTGTCATCTATTTGAACATAACACATTAAAAAATATACTATACAAATCTTTTGAATGAATATATAAAAATACATTACTTTAGCATCTAAAGCTCTTTTAATGCTAGCTCGGCGTTGTATTTTGGATTCTCCCCTTTCGATTTGTCCCATAATTCTATCAATATCTTGGAACTCATTACATCTTTCCCAAAATACAGCACTGTATTCTCTAACTTCTTCCGCAGTTTTACCTAAAATTAAAAAATATGTACAAATTTTCTTTATGTACAGAATCACTGAAGAATCTACATCAATAGAACTATATCAACAATCAACTCATAAATACCTTCTACTTCTTTTGATATATTATCAATATCATCTCTGCCATATTTTTCATTAGCTTTAATAAATTGATTAAAATCACGTTTATTCCAATTTGTAAAACCCTAAAACAAGACAGTTAGTCAAAATTATATAAACATTAAAATCAGAATAATATTTACTTTTGTTAATAAAATTTCTTTTTCTGCTTGTTCTGCTTCAGAAAGTGGTTGAGATTCATCAATTTTTTTTTGTTCTTCTTTCTGTATTTTAGTTGCATCAGCACCTAATTCTGAATTTTTTGGTACCTGTTTGAATCAAACATTTTTTAATTAATTTAACTACAGTATTTAAGTTAGAAAAATCAATCCAAATCTTGTATTTAGTTTCAGTTCTTAATTAACCTAGTCTTATGTGTTATACACATAACATAACTAACTAAAATGAAATAGACACACAATGATTATTATTTGTTCATATATCCAATGTTTGAGATATTTGATTAATCCCATTTCTCTTTAATATAATTATAAATCTTAACTTACTTTGTATCCAACAGTTTGTCTATAATAATAAATTTCTTGATCAAGTAAATCAAATAAACGAGTAGGGAAAAACTGGAAATCTTGAACCAATGGTTGTTTGGGTGGTCGAGGTGCCTACAAACATTTTTAAATATACATAAATGAAATCAGCTTATATAACTCATGTATAAATATAATATTATATTGTTATTATTTATTACCTTAGGTTGTTTGGGTTCAGATGTTCTGAGTGCTTCGCGAAAGTAGGCATCTACAGCGTAATTAGCTTTGCGTTCACGTTTAGGTGGTTCTATCCAATTTCCAATACCAGTTAACTTTTGTTTTTCTCTGTATATAATAAGACAAATTAAATCATAGATGTATGTAACACTTGTGTCATGAAATTATCATTATAATATACCTATAGTCTTCTCCTTCAAACGTGTACAAGGATGATTCTGTTTGAGCATCTAATGTAAAATTTCTCAAAGATGACTCTCCTAAGGACTCTAACTTTTGCTTCATTTCTTCCGTCTAAATAAACATAAATTCATACTCTATACTATAGTTACTAAAAAGTTGTATCACAATGAAATCCAAATAAAAACTTTAAAATTCTAAAAAATGCATCGTAACAAAAATTTAATTTAATTTTCATAATCACTCACCATAAAATCTGATGATTTGTTTTTCAAATTAAACTTAATAAATCTTACCTTTTCTTCACCTTTCCGTAAAATAGTATCAATATCTTCATCAGTAATTTCAGAATCTTTAGATTGGAAAACATGATTTGCACCATGTCTGATCATGTTTAACATTTCATCTTTATTCAGAGTATTTTTCTGATTATCCATCAATCGGCCTTGTTGAATAACTAATTTATCTAACCTAAGTTTAACTTCAGCTCTTTCAACAATTTTTTCTTCAACAGTATTTTCAGTAATAAGACGAAATACTCTAACTTGTTTTTTTTGCCCAATTCTATGAGCTCGGTCCTGTTAAAAAATATAATTAATTGTTTGTTTAGTTTTAAAAGGATAAATACACCAACCATCGCTTGTAAATCCATTTGAGGATTCCAATCAGAGTCATATATAATAACAACATCTGCAGTAGCCAAGTTAATACCTAAACCACCGGCTCGCGTAGAAAGTATAAAAACAAACTTTTTACTATTCGGTTCATTGTACTCATTAATTTGACGTTGGCGATCTTCATGAGGGGTTTGACCATCCAAGCGACAATACTATAAACAGTTTTCAGAAATATGAACAAATTTCATTTAGATACTAAATATTAAACATTTTATGACATATCCAATAATTTTAAAGTGAAGATTAATAACAAATTAACCTTAATGCAGTAAATCATAATTAATACATACATTATATCCTTTCCAGTGCATGTAATCCTCCAAAATATCCATCATACGTGTCATTTGACTAAACACTAGTACACGAGAATCTTGTTCCTTTAAAGCCTTTAATAACTTATCAAATACAACCATTTTTCCACAGTTAAAAACCTAAAACATCATATTGTTAAATCATCAATAGTTTGTTTTTATTTCATTAGTTATAAAATTATTATACAATATGTTCATCGGTAGTATAAGGAGGACCTGGTTCTGCACCATCAAAAAGATATGGATGATTACTGCACTTTCGCAGCTGCATAAGTATATTTTGTAGTCTCATTTTCTCTACTTTACCAGCACCATTGACTACATCTATATCTTTCATTAAAACTTTGGTATACCTTTAATAGACAAACCATTAACACAAATTGTTCAACACAGTTATAGTATTATATCCATATATTATATATTTTATACACCTACCATTCTCTTTGTAATTTACTAAGGCCAACATAAACTTTGACTTCTTTTTTGGGTTTTAGACGTTTTTCCACTTCAGCTTTTAATCTTCTTAAAAGAAATGGTCTTAAGACCTACACAAACATTAAAACAAATAATATTTAGTCTAGTTTAAAATAGTTGTATTAAAAATAAACTTACAGCATGCAGTCGCTCAATTAAGGCATTATCCCCAAAGCAATTGTTTGTATTGAACCATTGATCAAAATCCTGTTAATAAAATGTGAAATTATTGTTTAAATAAATTATTTTCAATCAAGTAATAACTTACATCTGATGAATTGAATACATCTGGCAGTAAAAAGTTCAACAGTGCCCACAATTCATGCAAATTATTTTGCAATGGTGTACCAGTTAACAATAATCGATTTGTAGTTTCAAACTCTCTAATTATTTCAGAAAGTTTACTTTTTTCATTTTTTATTCTATGAGCTTCATCAATTACTAAATATCTCCATTGAATTTTACGTAATACAGCTCTTTCGCGAATAATCATTTCATAAGATGTAATACAAACATCCCAGTCTCCAGGAATAAACGTCTCACGTATAAACTTGACCTAAAATATAATATGTACATTACAGATTACATTTAAGGTCTAAGTTTGTTGGGTTATAATTACATAGAATAAAACATAATTATTATATCAATAGTAATATAGAATTATTTCAGATAGTCAGACATATTCAAACTATTCGTTACAATTTGGAACATGCAAATTAATTATTTGATTGTTATAAAATATTATAAAATTGAGATGGACAATATTTGATAAAGTACAATAACATTTGAATGTTATGGTATTGTCTATTCATTAGCGCCCATCACAAGTTATTGACATAAACTCACCCGCGTGTCTCTATCTCCAATCATGCAAACTGTTCGAATTGTGGGACACCATTTCTTAAATTCATTAACCCAATTTTGTAATGTTGATTTAGGAACAATAACCATGTGAGGTCCAGGTATATTTCTGTAATGCTTCATATATCTGGATACAGATATATATATATATATTATAAAAAAAAGTAGTAAAATTGAAAATTGTAGTTAAAATGCAGACTCAAATGTAATCACTTACCCCAAAAGTGATATTGTTTGTAAAGTCTTACCAAGACCCATTTCATCAGCCAGAATACCATTAATTCCATTTTCATACAATGATATCATCCAATTCAAACCACGTACTTGGTAATCACGTAATTCACCATTCTGTATATAATACGGAGATTCATCAAACTGTGTGATAAACTTATCTGCTGCCAATGACTCTTTTAATAGCTCTTCATCTTCTTCTTGTTCAGTCTGGCGATGACGAAGACTATATGAGACCATAAAATATATTATTAATGATATTTAATTTAAACTTCAAAGACAACGTTAAATATTTGACATAATACATTTCATTACTTCAATAGTTTAAACCATAAAGACTATACTCTGTTCAAATAAAATCAGTATCTAGCGGTCAACTCCATCCCCACAACAAATAATTAATATTTACATAGAAGCAAATATAGACAAAAAATATTTGGTAAATCTCAATTTAGGCATGTTTTGGAGATATGACATCTTTCTTTACCCAAAATGTATAAGTTATCAATTATCAATATTAGTTAGTAATTAATAATTGTTATATTATAAGTTTTTATATTTATTAATTTTACATGATTTATAGGAAATATAAGTATAAAATAATTTGTATAATCACAATAATTACGGGGAACTAACAGTCTCAAATATATAATTTTGGGAGAAAAAAGTCCATAAAACTATAAATTGGAACATTCAAAATAAATATACATTAAAATGTAAACATTGTCTAACTATCATAAAACAACTATTACATGTAATTTAATATTCATACAAAATTATCCCACACTTTGGAAACTTGAACTAAGATGGAGAATGTAATAGCTGCAGACTGCTCAAAATTAGTATAAATAAAATGAGTGAATAATCAATAAAAAGTAAAAATCCAATGAAATGCCTTATGTTACATTTTTGGGGAATAGAAAATAGAACTTGAAAATTTTTTAAAAGCTATAGGTATCTAGAAATATTTTGATACTACTACAAACAAATAAATATCATAGAACATTATTTATAGCTATTTTTAACTACCTTTTAATTGGATGATAACAATATTTATACTGTGATATCTGATAACAACACTATTTACTTTTTTCTCATCTATAGACCTTATTATTAAGACGTCACACCCGCATGTGTTATCACCGTCTTACACACGTACAATATAGACAAAACGCATTTAAGCAGTCTGAGTATAAATAGCTCAATGTTGGTTCTTGAGTAAAAATAATACAATTGAATTGTGAGAATATTTCTGTTTTTTCCATTATACCCAATATAACGTTCATTATATCTTTTAGAAATAGGAAAAATATTTTTTAACAAAAAATCAACGTCTTGCCCTCCAAAATATTGTCAGCTTTTAATTTTGTAATAGGTGTTTTTACATCAAAATTGTGGGAGCTCTACTCAGACTGCATAAACGTTTTGTCTATATCTTATGTGTGTAAGACGGAGACAGCAAATGCGGGTGTGACGTCCTCTCAACAAAACCTTGACTTTTTCCCTATCATCAATTATTATAAGTATGTGCAGTTAAACCCTGATTAAAACAACTCTGGATACGCTACTGGATACTGCCAATCAATTTATTTTTTGTATACTTATCAGGTTTGTCACCTTTGAAAATAGGTACCTAGTTAAAATAATTAAATATTATATTTTTTTTAATTGTCATTTGTTCAAAAACATTTGCTAAATAAAATATTCCATTATATATTATTATATAATATTACAAAAAAATATAGTAAAAATACTTACTCGGCAGAATCTCCAGTTTCAGCTTTAGGTTTACGAGGTCTACCCTTAGCTTTTTTTGGTGTGTTTCCAGTAGCACTAGCAGTGCTTGATCCATCTTTTTTTTGATTAGCTGTCATAAAATGAGCAAAGATTTCTGTTTGTTTGAGAAGATAATCAAACCTCTTTCCTCGGTCAGTTTCCTACAGAATGAATAAAATGTTTTCAATAAAAATTGTCATTTATTTATTTAATAATAAAAAAATGATCATTACAACTTTGTGACCAAAAACTTTTCCTTCTTTTTCTTTGGATGGAGATGCTTCATCTTCAGATCCAGAATTATTCTAAAATAATGATTTTAAGTTAGTTACATTTAAATTACAATGAGATCAGTGAACGTAATTTCTAGCTATTGAGTTTGTAATGATGCAATTTTTATAAGTCGAGTGTGTTTAATAAGTTTGTAATATTTAAAAAAGTTCATTTTCATTTTCTCATATGTTTTCACAAAAGAGACACATAAATTAGTTATCTCAGATGTTCAAAAGTATAAAATGCTAATTATATGGTCTGCTTCCTTAATATATCCATTAGAAATCACTAGAACAATCATCAGTTAAAACGAACAAAACACAAGACCCTGGCACAAGTCCATACAATTCAAAATTAAAATACACAATTGAGGATACATTGAGGATAGTTATTAGTTAGAATAAGATATCTGCTACATATTAAGATCTAATACGGTTTACTATGAGCAAGTCATTATCTTCTATTGTTTATATACAAATATGTATAACCGCATACAATAAGAAAAACTCATTGAAAGCAATTCCTACTGTAGATAATTTAATTTTATATATTTCAAATACAACTCAATTTAAAATTTAAATATAAAAAATAATCAGTGATATCATAGTCAATACTTATGTTTTGAAGTTTGATAATAGATCAATTTACTCCGATTAAAAAATAATAAAAGTTAAAAGCACATAGGTACCTAAGAAATTTGGATCTTTATTTGTGAGACATAATATAGATAAAATAGTTTCTTATGACATGACATTTCATTATGCAAAATGTTGTACCTCATGAAATCAATTATTGTATCTATAGATACATATAAAATAAAATATAGTTTAATACTAACGGTATTATCCGTTTTTGAGTTATCCAAATTATCCTTTTTGGCAGGTGATTTTGTGTTTTTAGACGGCTCGTAGTTATCGTCATCAATTTCCATGTCAGGGCTGTCCATTTCAATTAGTAGATAGACACTTTGTTACCGGTGTAATGCTACAATCACACTACACACCAATTTACAATTAGTATTACGATCGTTTAAATAGTTTAAACAAATTCGTATACGGTATTTAATTACTTACCCTATTCGGTATACAACTAATATGTATTATTTAATAAAAAAATATCAATAAAGATTACTAACAGAACAACCACCAACAAGTAACAACATTACAACAAACAACCCTACTAGTACACAGTCTTACACCACAGAATTAAACCGCGCAAATGGAGGTGAGACAAAAAAAAAAGAAAAAGTAGTCACTGCAACCCACCAACGGCAAAGCATAATAATTATTCGTACAGTATAGTAACAGTCTTGACAGGAGTTAACTAATAACTACCGTAAACAGCGGAAGTGAAGTAGATACTACAATAAACTTAGCCCCTCCATCAAGAATCAACGTTCCGTTACAGTGCTGCCATCACTAGGGTGGCAGCATAGAACAATAGTGGAAGCTGCAGTTAATTTCTGAAGTATGAGGCTGTGGAAGTATGGACTGTTCTATGATTGTATAATATTATTTTATTTATTTTTTATATAATTAACATAGATAATTTATCTAATGATTACAACTTTGATTTCCATAGATAATAGAAGAATTCTTCTATTATCTATGGTGATTTCCATGTTGTATTTGTTTTATAATTTAACATTTTAACCCACGGTCTTATATACGACCGGTATATAAGACCCGAAGACCGTGATTTAACCATTTTTATCTTCTATTTCTTGATAACCACTGTTTTTTTTTTTACTGTTATCGACACTCGACAGATGATAATGATAATTGATAACGTAGTACGTTGCACGCATGATACGCCGCACGGCCGCACGGTCTTGAATCTTGATTTAATCATGCATGAAACCAAAACACGTGTGATTGACTTTTTATTAGTGTAGACTGTAGTCTAATTAAAACTTTTAATTTTTAAAGCCGTCGAGGCTTCGAAGTGGTTAATAATTTTATTCAAGAGAGCGGTAGATAGGCATCGATTAGTCTTTTACTATGGCTCCGAAAAGTATCATGAAGAAGAAACCAATAAAAAACAAGAAGCTTACAAAAAAAGCTTCAAAAGTGGTTTCTAAAAAAGTTGAAGTGATGAGTGATGGTAACGATGATTCCGATGATGGATCGTTAGATGCAATTGAATTTAACAGTGAGTAAATTATTTGTTTGATGGCATTGTCTTAAATAGTTGTTATTGCCCCTTTTGTTTCAGGTGAATCTGATCACGATGCAAGTTTAAGTGAGGGTGATGATGGTAAAGTGTATGACAGCGATGATTTGGACGAAGATTTAGAAAAACTGAAAACCTCTGACCCAGAATTCTATAAATATTTAAAGGAATGTGACAAAAAACTTGCCAGTTTGCCTGAACAAGATGGCGATGAAAGTTTTAATGATGATGATGATGATTATGATGAAGATGATGTTGAAGGAATAAAATCTGAAAAATTACATAAACCTCCAACTGATTTAGAAGTAAGTACTTAATTTATAATAAGTAAATTTTTAAATAAATAAAATTTAAAAAAAAAACCATTATTAAACTAATAATAATTGGAATTGTGACTATTTTAGATTGGTAGCGATGAAAGTGACTTTGATGATGGACCAAGTAATAGTGGTGGAGATTTAACTGTTATTACATTGTCAATGATAGAGACATGGAGACAAAAACTTCAAAATTCGTAAGATCAATTTATAAATAAAAAAAACTATTTAATAATATCGCCCATCGCAACAAAGAAGGATATATCTCTGTTTTCACAATTTTCACATTTTTTTTTTTAAGTTATCAACTCTTTTTGTGTAGTTCCCGCGAAGAAAGTAGTAACTGCATTTTATTGTATAGAATGTCTTCGATTGTTTTATGCAACTATCAGGTTCTCAGAAACTACACAAAAACAGTTAAGAGAACTTGAAAAAAAAATTGTGAAGACAGAAAAATGACCTTTATCACTGCGGCGGGCGATATGGTGATTAAATATGTATATAAAAAACTAAAAATAAATTATAATTTTAGAAAACAAAAACTCAAATACATTACTACGGCATCTAAGGCAATGACAGCAGCACTTCAACGTATAACAGCAAATGAAATTAATAAACCTACATGTTATAAAGTCGAAGGAAGCTCAGGTAGTTATACATTTTCAATTTCAATTGAATAAGTTTATTTTAAATACGTGATGTATTTTCAGTATTTAATGCAGTACTTCAAATGTGTATGTTTGATTTGCAACCTGCCCTTTTGAAATTTTTGAAACTTCCTCCTGGTACATCATCAAAAAACATGATTTCAAAGTCAAAGCATTGGAAGAAAGTGAAAATGACCCTGCGTTCATATTTAACAGATCTAACTAGAGTAATTACAATTTTTGTTTTTAATATTTTAGTAATTGGAAAATTTGATATAATATCTTCATTGATATCTATGTATTATGTACTTAACATGTAACTGATCATCATTTTTTTTAAAAATTAAAACTAATTTCCAAATTGTCCATAATTACAATGAATTAAATTTAAATATTTGCAGCTCTTGACAACTGTTTCTAGCGAAGACATTATGTGTGTACTATTAAAACATTACCACCAAATGATACCATTTTTATCATGTCTTCCAACAATTGTAAAACCGGTTTTGAAAAGGTTTGTTGCACTATGGAGTGCTAATGCAAGTGAAACAGTTAAAGTTGTATCTTTCTTGTGTATTTTAAAGTTAGCCAATAGTGACCTATCTTCCTATCTAGAAATGATTCTAAAGGTAATTCAATTATTTATCTGTAAATATTTTTGTATTAAATAATGTTGTTTTTAGGCTATGTATGTGGGATATATTTCTAATAGCAAATTTGTTACTCCAAATGCCTTACCTGGGATTAACTTCATGAGACAATCATTGTCAGAAATGTTTACTATAAGTGAATCAGTATCTTATAATCATGCGTTTTTATATATCAGACAATTAGCCATTCATCTTCGATCAGCTGTAACTTTAAAAAAAAAGGTAACGGACTAAATAATTTTTTTAATTTATTAAAATTGTATTGTTAAAAAATCATTTTTTTTTTAATTTTAAAGGAAAATATACAATCTGTTTACAACTGGCAGTACATATATTCACTTAAACTATGGACAGACGTTTTGTGTGCTACATTAAATAAAAAACAATTGCAAACTTTGGTTTACCCTCTTATTCAAGTGCGTGCATTACACTTAGATAAAAAAAAAAAATTTAATTGAATATAAAATAACAATTGTTATACATTTTAGATTATTGTTGGGTGTACTAAACTTGTACCTACAGTACAATATCTGCCATTGAGGTTTCATTGTATTTCAATGTTAACTAAGCTGAGTAGGGAAACTGGGAAATTTATACCTATTTTACCACATATTTTAGAGGTATTTATAGATTTGGTTTTCAAAACCAACAGGGGTTTTTTTGTATACTTGTATTAAAAAAAACATTATTTTTAAGGTACTTACTATAGTAGATTTTCAAAAGAAACATTCAAAAACCTCAATGAGACCAATGGACTTTACTTGTATATTGCGTCTGTCAAAATCACAATTACAGGAAAATGTATTTAAAGACGCAGTTATTGAAAATGTACATAGTGCTTTTATGGAATATATAGTAATTGAAGCACATACAATCAGTTTTCCTGATATAGTTGTACCATTTATCATCAAAGTATGTTTTATTTGTACTTCTTAAATATATAGTTTGGTTTAAACCTAAATTATTGTAATAATATCACTTATTTATTTAGATGAAAGAGTTTCTTAAAAATTGTAAAAATATTAATTATACTCGGAAGTTACGTACTTTGTTAGACAAAGTGAAAGAAACGTCAACTATTTTAAGTGAAAAACGTGGAAAAAGTGGTCTTTTACTTCATGACTTAAAAGGTATTGAGGCATGGGAATCTGATATTAAATTAGCTGGTACTCCTATGTCCCAATATTATGATAGTTGGTTTAAAATAAATCAGCAACAAGTTGCTAGAAAAATAACAAACAACATTTCAGTAAGTTAATTGATTCATGATACAAAATTCTTTATGATTGACTTATGATAATTTTGCATTTATTAGCTTGGAGAATTCAATATTCCTACCTTAAAGAAACATAAGCCAAAAGAAAATGATGGTGGACCAGCTGAACTATTCCCCTCTGACGATGAAGAATATGAGCCTAAATTTGGGTAAGAAATTCTTAGTAGATAAATTCAGTATTAACCTTTTACCATGCCCATCAAAATTAAAAATTAGATAGAACTATTATGATGAAAAACCTTCTTAAAGGACATCACATCACTAAAAACAAGTTTGCTTGGATTTAAAGTATGTCATTGTCTAAGAAATATGGTGTGGGTCTCACACTTTAACCACAGAATAGATTAAATTTAAATTTAATCTAATCTGTGATTTAAGACTAAATATTCAATGATGCGTTTGAAAATATTCTTGTGACGTCATAGAGCCGAAGTCGAACGGCGTCGTAAGTTCTACGTGTAAAAGTGTCTAGATTAGCACAATAATTTCAACCGTTAAAAAAAGATAATATTTTTTATGTAACCTTAAGGAATTATTGTGTTTATGACACTAGTGTGATTATAATTTTGATATACTTTCAAATTATAACCATTATAGTAAATTTCATAAAATGTTGTTTATATGGCAATACAACGCAAGTCGCAAACTAAATAATTTTACATAATTATAATTTATAATATTTGCCCATACAATAACAAGATATATTAAATTTTAAATCACACCAATGTGTTAAGCACATAAACATACTTAGGATTATGAAAAAAAACATTTGGAAATACTATCGTAAGTTTAAAATCATTGTGTAAATCAAACTACTTTTACACGTAAAACATAGGTGGCTGGTCACTGGTCAGCTCATAGATGTCCCGCGGCTATTCATAAAC